TTGGATTTAAATATTGAAGTTGAAACGTACCAAGAGAAAAGGAAGAGTTTTTGAGTTAAATGTAAACATTAATTTGCAAAATTATTAAGAAAAAAAATCAAAATGTGGAAAAAAGAGAAAAATAGGATCTTTGCGTCGAGGAGATGCCACGTCAACCTATCATGATTTTGCTTTATAGATATATATAGATCCTTTATATTTTTAATGATGTATGCATTTTATTGTTATCCATAAATGTTGATTTAAATTGAATTTGTCAATTTATTATTAATTATGTTAAGTCTTTATCTAAATTAGAGCGATTACATTTATGTTTTCTTTATTTATTTTTATTGAGATATATTTAATTAGTTTTATTTTGTTAAATGATGAGACCTTTTTTTTACTACTTCAAATAACGATTTAGGGGTCGTTTATTAAATGCTTACCCAGTAAATATTTACCAGACAATTTTTCTCACCGGATGAACATGGCAAGGGCCAAGAATCTTACCCGGTAAGAACGATGATAAGGATGGAGAGTCTTACCCGGTAAGTGAGGGTGACGACTCTTACCCAGGTAAGCAATTACAAGGTAAATTATTGTATAGAATATGTTTTGATGTACTATAGTCTTACTCAATAAAATAAATTACAGTGCTGACTCATAATGTTAAGCACTTACCGGGTAAACATTTAGGTAAACGGCCCCTTAGATTTTTAGTTGGTTTAATTTTGTCTTCACCTCATTTTAATTGTGTTAATATAGTATTTATCGTTTTTAGCTGTAGTTATCTATACTATTGATAAGTGTTAATTTATTAACCTTATTACATAATTTTCTTAACCATTTTCCCTTGTTTTATTTGCCCATTAGTGTCTTAATAGAGTCTTTTTATGTAATTTTCATATATTAGTAGTAATATAGTATATCTAATGTTAATTCCCTATTTTTACAGGTTTTTAATGATTTTTGGGCCTAGTCCTATAGGACCAAGAGTGGCAAGGTCCTATAGTACCTGTCCGAGAGCTGAAATTCTGCTTGGGCCGTGAAGAAATGGGCTGATCCATAGAGGAAGCGTGGTCAACGACCTTGGGCCCGGTCAAAGCACAGTTTTGAAGAAGCTTTTGTCTTATTAGTTGGCACCCACTATGTGATCTTCCTTAGCCTATATAAACAAGCCTTAAGCCTTGTTTTGAAGACATTTTTTCATACTTTCTTCCATTTAACACTTGTGATATTAGTGATAATTGCTCTCTAGAATATTGCTTTCGGTTCCAAGT